GGGGCACTATTTCCCAGAATTTCTCGATAAGCAGCAGATCCCATCATTCACTTCATTAGGAAGCATTAAAAACCAGATGTGTTCTGCCGAGACTTTCGGAAATGCCCATCGTTATCACAGGCGAGAGAAGGCAGCGTGTCTGGCTCTTAGCCAGAAGGTTAGTGGTTTGACCTCACTCAGGGATGGCTGCGGGCAGGATTCCTGCATTGCAGGGGGTTGGACTAGATGACCCTTGGGGTCCCTTCCAACTCTTCTGTGATTCCATGGCACAAAGGCTCCACTCACATCATCCCTCTATTACTGAGCAAACAAATAGCAAAGTGAATCTGTGTTTGCTGGTCCCGCCTCCAGCCTTCATGTCACCATCAGCTCCACCCTTCCCACCTTTAGCTATATACAGTGGTACCTCGGGTTAAGAACTTAATTCGTTCCGGAGGCCTGTTCTTAACCTGAAACTGTTCTTAACCTGAAGCACCACTTTAGCTAATGGGGCCTCCTGCTGCCGCCGCACAATTTCTGTTCTCATCCTGAAGCAAAGTTCTTAACCCAAGGTACTATTTCTGGGTTAGCGGAGTCTGTAACCTGAAGCTTCTGTAACCTGAAGCGTATGTAACCCGAGGTACCACTGTATGTGTAGAAAAAGCCCCTTCCTGCATAGGAAAGAAACAACCTTATACCAAGTCAGAACCAAAACAAAGGAAAGGCACGAAAAAACTACAGGAATCTCCAAAAACAACATGTAGAGTAAAGTTGGAAGGGACTCTGAGGATCCTCTAGTCCAGGGGGCAGCAAACCTTTTCAGCAGGGGGCCGGTCCACTGTCCCTCAGACTTTGGGGGGGCGGGGGCGGACTGTATTTTTTTGGGGGGGGGGAATGAACAAATTCCTATGCCCCACAAATAACCCAGAGATGCATTTTAAATAAAAGGACACATTCTACTCATGTAAAAAACATGCTGATTCCCAGACCATCCACGGGCCGGATTTAGAAGGCGATTGGGCCGCATCCAGCCCCTGGGCCTTAGTTTGCCTACCCATGCTCTAGTCCAACCCCCTTCAATGCAGGAATATGCAGCTGTCCCAAACGGGGATCGAACCTGCAACCTTGGCATTATCAGCACCATACTCTAACCAACTGAGCTATCTAGGTTTACTAGATATTTATAGACAAACAAGCAAGTCTACATGTGCAGTTAAACATATATACAAATATACAATCATGCCTTGGGTTACAGACACTTCAGGTTGTGTGTTTTTGGGTTGCGCACTGCACTGAACCCGGAAGTACCGGAACGGGTTACTTCCGGGTTTCGGCGCTCGTGCATGTGTGGAAGAGCTACCGGTAAATCGCGCTTTGCGCGTGCGCAGAAGCACTGAATCGCAACCTGTGCTTCTGCAGATGTGGTGCTGTGGGTTGCAAACACTGCAGGTTGTCAATGTGCCTCCCACACGGATCACGTTTGCAACCTGAGCATCCACTGTATGTAGAAGCCACATGTATTTTTCTTTTCCTTTTCCTCCAAGGAGCTTGAGGTGGTGTACGTGGTTCTCCCTTCGCCATTTCATCCTCACAGCAACCCTGAGTGACAGTGACTGGCCCAAGGTCACCCAATGGACTTCATGACTGAGTGGGGGGTTCCAGCCCTTGTCTCCCAGGTCATAGTCCAACATTCTTGATACACCACACCGGCTCTCTTTAACAAGGGTGGGGAAGCTGTTGCAGGACTTTAACTTCCACCATCCCTGAGCATCGTCCAAAGCTGGCAGGGACTGATGGGAGATGGAGTTCCACAACATCTGGAGGGCCATGGGCTCCACACTTTACGTTCTTTTTAATTAGGCGAAAAGCAGATGAGGAGCATTGCAGGAGCCTGCCAAACCTTAAGCTTGCGCCTTTCCAAATACCTGCAGGGAATAACACTTGAGCTCAGCATAGCCGGAAATTCAGCTTTCCCTTGTAAATACCTTCTTTGTAAAGCAACACACACAAAAACACAACACAAATAAATAGAAAAATCTTGGGCAGAAGAAACCTGTTTCATCATGGGTGATGCTGGTTGCATCCTGAGCCTCTGCAAAGGGAGGAGGGGAGGAGGGGGAAGTGAGGCAGGGCTGCTTGCCAGCTCTTGTTTGATGAAAGGATAACCCTGTCGAAGTCTCGCCTGGAGGGCAGCAGCTGAGTGAGTCACTGCCGAGAAGTTGTCAGGAACAAAGCTACCTTGTGGTCAGGGTATTTGTGCCAACAGAGGAAAGTATGTCCAGATCGTCTTGACCTATTCCCACAGTTTTTGGGGAGCTGGGACAGCATGACACTTATTTAAATCATCTGAAGCCTGACTCAAACAAGAGCTTGGCATATTAAATGTTTGATTTCGACTGCCTGAGCACTCCTTTTGATTATGTAAAAGACAAGCTCCCTTTTGTAACTTTCAGAATGGAGATAGTTCCCAAGGTCAGGCTGGGCCAAAATCTAATGGATGCAGTACTTGCATTGTTCTGGATTCCTGCCCCCCCCCCCCCCCCCGTAGGACTCACTGGCCACCCTAAGCAAGCTTATCATTTCCTGAGATGTGAGTGGGGAAGGGACAGACTTGCTCTGACACTTCTTGTGCCTCATCCTGGTTCCCAAGACCACTCCAAAAGCTAATTGAGGATGGTTTATTAGGGCGAAGGGTACTGCCCCACCAACCTCATTCTCCCATCAGCCAGCCTCTGGGTGGCTGGCTGCCTTTACTTGTTTATTTTATTACATTTACATACCACAATTTCCTGCAAAGAGCTCCACCCTCTTCATATCTCTGTGGGTTCTGGGAGACCAGCAGGCACGGGAGCTGGTCACACCAGGAGGGTGGGCCCTAGCTTCTTCAGCAGCCAGCCTCCACTCTGCCTCTTGGCCTGCTTCCGCTTTCGACTCTGGATTGCCCACTGCCACAGACTCACCACAAAATCCAGTTCCATCTTCAGCTTCCAACACCTCCTCCCCACCCCCCAGGCTTCTCCCTCTAACCACTCATTGTCGTCCCACCACCAGTCCCTGGGCTCTGAGTCTTCTTCCCTTGGGGGTTCCTCAATTGGTGCCTCTCACCACTGCTCTGCCTACCAGTCAACCATTTTGTTTTTTTCTCAGTCACGTGTCAAAATGGCAAGCTGTCAAACTACCACTGCAAACATTTTTGTTTGTGGCAACGTGCTAAATCACCATTTGGTCCTGTGAGAGAATGTTGCCTCCTACTCAAGGCACACTACACGTTGCATACTGCTCTGTGTTTCATATCTCTCTATCTGCAGTCAACATAGGAAACTGCTGTATGCCAGGTCAGACTACAGTCATACCTTGAGTTGAAGTAGCTTCAAGTTAAGTATTTTCTGGGTTGCGCTCCGTGGCAACCTGGAAGTAACGGAGCACGTTACTTCTGGGTTTCGCCGCTTGCGCAGACGCTCAAAATGACATCACATGCATGCGCTGAAGCGGCAAAACGCGACCTGCACACGCACAGACACGCAGACAAATCTTACGTTTACTTCAGGATGCGAACAGGGCTCCAGAACGGATCCTGTTCATATCCAGAGGTACCACTGTATTAACCCATGTAGCCTAGTTCTGCCTACTCTGACTGGCAGCCCTTCTCCAGGATCTCAGGTGGTTGTCTTCCTCCTCACCCTGCTCCACCACCTGGAGATACGTACTAGGGATTAAGCCTGGAACCTTCTGCCTGCAAAGGAGCACTGTGTTATGGTACCTCCCCAAAGACTGGGGGAGGTAGGGAGGAGCTTCATAAACTTTCCCACTTGCGCTGTTTCCCTGACATACACACTCCTATCAAACTGAGTTGAAGGAAATACACAGATGTAGTAACAAGGGCGGTGCAACCACCAGGATATATAGGTGCGTACCCATGCTGCACATGAAGTCCAAGGCATTAATTGATGACACTTGCCTGTTTAGGGTACTAAGATCTCTCTGCAGGTGCATGATGGCTGCATCCATCAGTTTCCCCTGTGCGTTGGTCAGCGTGCACTGATCTACACACATAAAACAAATTCACGCACAGGCATCTTCCAAAAACCCATCCCAAACCCCAAAGTCCCATGATCAACTCCCGCCTGGAAACCAATGTCCCCACCGTGAAAGGATGTGTGGATCCAGAATTGGCCTCCACAGTCACTTACGGACTCATTGTTAAAACCATGTTTATGGAAGACAATCTTACTTGGCTACGAGTGATCGCCAAAGAATACAGACTCATGCTTTGCAATAGACGTCAAGAACAGCAACTCACAGGGACTCATCAGCCACTTGAAATCTGGACCTACAAAGCCAAGTAATCAGTAGTTGAAAAGGGCTCAGGTGAATTGGCCCTTGTCTAACGAAGCACAGATTTCTGATTAGCAAGGAGACTGGCAGGATTCTCTCTGTGTTGTTCAGGAGTCCATTTGCTGATGAAAAGGGCTTTGGACAAAAGAGCTAAACAGACAAGCACTCCATCCAAGACCGTAGTAATTAGTAGGTATCCAACTCCTCACTGGACTTGCAAATGATGGGTCACAATGGGTGGCTTTTCCACAAAGCAGTCCTCTCACCTCATGCATGGGAAAGTTTCCTTTCTGAAAAATAATTCTTTGTTATAAAGACCAGGTTGTCTGGACTGTTCTCATATCAAGCTGGCAATGTGCTGAGGTCGTCAAGCTTCCTTCCAGGTGACCCTGCCATCTGAAATGAGACTGCCAAGTCAGAGACTTTTGAAATCTTCAGGACCAGGATCAATATGGAGGAAGTTATATTTATCCTATTTTCCCTTTGAGCACTTCTGCAGAAGAGCTCTCTGTAACGTGAAATTCAATAAAAGTCATCAGCTCGCTTTGGTCTGTAATTCTCGTTGTGCGGGACCAGCAATCTGGTGTACAGTCTGATCCATAATTCTGCTGCAAATAAAAGGGCAAGCAAGAAAGGGTCATAGCTTCCTGGAAGAGCCTAGGCTTTGCATGCAAAAAGTTCTAGGTTCAATTCCCGGCATCACCAATTGAGAAGACTGGGAAAGACACACAGAGGTCTTTCCCAGTCTTCTCAATTGGTGATGCCGGGAATTGAACCTAGAACTTTTTGCATTACACAAAGACATTGGAGAGCTGCTGACATCATGGGCGTAGCTGGATTTTCCTTAGGGGGGGCAGGATTTTTGTTAGAGAGGGGCAGAACCGACGTAATTGATCAGTTAGGTAATTATTTCTGTTTTACTTGATCTGGGGGGGGGGGCAGCTGCCCCTCCCTGCCCCCCTTGCCTATTCCCATGACTGACAGAGTTGTATATGTTGGAGAGAGAGGGTTGGGAGAGAAATCCTTTCTCTCTTGTATCAGAGTTAAACACAATGGCAAGTGCTTCAAGCCCATTAAAACTTGGTTGGATTTCCATCTGCAACCATCCACTTTTAATCAAATGTTCCCCACTTAGGCTAGAATAAATCACGACACTTAGCTTTGCAATTAAGTGAATGTTTTACTCATAGATTCCAGAAGTCACAGCAAACAAGTCCACAGCCCAAAGAAGAAAAACAGTTCCAAACAACTTTAAAAGAAAAGTACAGTGGTGCCTCGCAAGACGAAATTAATTCGTTCTGCGAGTTTTTTCGTCTTGCGAAGCACGGTTTCCAATAGGAATGCATTGAAAATCAATAATGTGTTCCTATGGTCAAAAAAAGTCCAAACAAAGCCAAATTTGGTACAAAAAGAGTTTATTAAGTGCTCTTTAAAGTCACACATACTGTAAAGAGCATTTCAAAAACTGAAGGAACAATAATTTAAGTTTCTAAACATGACAGAAAAGCATTTAAAAATCACCAAAGTGTACTGTACATACATTTTCTCAGACTCTGGGGGACAACTCGAAGAAGGTTCCTCTTCGACTCTTTGCTTCTTGCTGAAGAACCTGTCCATGGTCTGCTGCTTCATCCGCCTTTTCAGCACCTCCCTGAAAGACGACATGACCCTCATATCAAAAGTGTTCGCAAGGTCACGTGTCAGGTCCTTGTCAGGGTGGTGCCACCGTGCAAAAGCCTGCACATCTTTCCACTTCTGGCAAATGTCCCTCAGTTCTTTGGAGGACAGCCGTTCCTCAGTTGCTTCCTCCTCTTCCAGCGAGGCCTGCTCCTGCACAGCCTCTGCCTGCAGTTCGACCACACAAGCTTCCAGATTCTTGCAAACCCCTCCCCAACAGCAAGTCCTTGAATTCCAAACACCCCAACCCAAAATCCAAAACCCCCCAAAAAAGTTTTAAAAGTTTAACTTACCAAATGGCTGCAAAAGAAGTTTTGGAAAAGCTTCAAAAATCACCAAAGTCTTCAAAAACCTCAAAAAAGGCTACCACACCGCGTGCTATGAGTTGCTCCTCGAAGTCAAGTCGCAACTGCACCTCTTCAAGCAATGCACCCTGGGTATTAACGGTTTTAAGAAAAGGAAACAAACTTGCAAGACGTTTTCGTCTTGCGAAGCAAGCCCATAGGGAAATTCGTCTTGCGAAGCAACTCAAAAAACGAAAAACTCTTTCGTCTTGCGAGTTTTTCGTCTTGCGAGGCACCACTGTACTGGGTTTCCTTAAAAAAAGAGCATGCAGTCTTTGGGTTAGCAAAGATACAGGCTGTCAAATCTCCCTTTAGAAAGAATATTCATTCATGTGCAGCATTTGCTTAGTTGGGAACCAAAGCTTCATGGCTTCTTCTTTGCTAGTTCCAGAAAGCATGGAGGGGAAAAAAAGAAAATGGATGGGAGAGGCTGCTGAGAGGCTACTAAGCCACACCCACACTGGTAACTTGAGCTCAAGGCTCAGGTTAACCCTTTCAAGCATATAAGTGTGAGTTGGTAATTGTATATTACAACAGTATATGCTACCCATCCTTTCACAGAGGCCTAAACTAGCCTGTTGTCCCAGGTGTGAAAGAGTCTGCATGCAGAACATTGGCTTCTGCATGTAGAATAGAAAAGGCCACCAAATTGTTTCTGGAAGCAAAATATCCTGGGCCACCCCTGTCTCCACACTGTGCATTGTTTTATAAACCCCTGTCGTGTCATTCACTATGCTGCTTCACGTGTTCCTGTTATACAGAGAAACAACATAAGACATGGCAGCAGCTGGAGCCAGGCAGAACCAGTGAGAGATCCTCATCCCACTTTGAGAATCAACTCCTTGCAGAGCATCAGAAGTTGCTTGATGTCATTGTCGGATTCTTTTCCACATTATACTTCTGGAAATTCCAGTGAAAACCTTGCATAAAAGAAACGAAGAGGACTTGGCAACCTACAAGTTTTGCTGCAAACACTGGCAAGTGGTTTTGTCATAACCTTTTGCTCTGACATCATTCTGTGAAATTATAAGTTACCTTAGCAACAGTGGGTGGAGGTTTAAAACCCAGTATTTATTGGATCTATGTGTTCTTTGTTCTCAACTATCCTGCCTGCTCAGTTCTTTCTGCTGACAAGATAATGGAGACCACACAGTGTCAAAATACTTACACCAAAGAGTTGTGTTAAGCTGTGCGTTTAATAGCACAGGTTGTTCAGTTCCACATTTTTCTGCCAGAGTCATTGTTCCATTCCCCATTAATAGAGTTCATTCCCTTCGCTTACCCATGAAACACAACTTTGTTCTTCAGGCCCATACACAAAGCTGAATATTAACATGGGTTTTATTTGATGATGCCAAGAACTTTCATACTGCAGTAGTAAAGAGGGATAAGGGAGGCGTCATAGCTCAGTGGGGAAGGACATGTTTTGCCTATGTTTGATCTCCCAGCAGAGATGGAAAGAATTCCATCTGAAACCCTGGAGAATGACGGCCAGCCAGAGTAGGCAATAATACTGAGTGAGATGGATCAGTAGTTCGACCTCGTATCCGTCAGCTTCCCATTTCCCCCTCTAGATATCATTGCTGCTTTATTGGGTGTTAGTATCAACCAATAGGAATAAATGGATTTGAGTGTGGCCCCCCTAAGGGTGTTCAGCAGAAATAAAGCTTTCTTCTTTCAATGGTGCTTAAAGGTAAAGGGACCCCTGACCATTAGGTCCAGTCGTGGCCGACTCTGGGGTTGCGGCACTCATCCCGCTTTATTGGCCGAGGGAGCCGGCGTACATGTGGCCAGCATGACTAAGCCACTTCTGGCGAACCAGAACAGCGCACGGAAATGCTGTTTACCTTCCCAACGGAGCGGTACCTATTTATCTACTTGCACTTTAACGGGCTTCCGAACTGCTAGGTTGGCAGGAGCAGGTACCAAGCAACAGGAGCTCATCCCATGGCGGGGATTTGAACCGCCGACCTTCTGATCGGCAAGTCCTAGGCTCTGTAGTTTAACTCCCATCTAAATGTGCATAGGATAGTGTGGACTGATTGGTTGAGGTGTACAACATTAGCCCTGCTTGTCACTACTACGAATTATGGTCCAGTTCAAAGGAAAGGAAGGAAGCAAAGAAAATATTGTACAATATTAATTTTAGGACTGGGAGAGATCACACAATCACTTAGGTAGGCTAAATGAAGAGCGCCCAGGACCCTTAGCAAAATAAACTTCACAAAATGCCACAAGGATAGAACAGCAGGGGAGAAAAGATTAGCAGAGCATTGGCACCCAGTTTCCTTTTCCTTTTATCTTTGTTTCACTCTGTCCATCATTCCGCCCTCCCCTCCCCAGTCTAAGGAAGTCCCATAATCTAAGAAGTTCAGTAGAACAATTTAAGTTTTTTAAGCTCTGACAAGAAAATCTGTTGCTTTAAGGCAAGCTATCTCTCAATCCCTCCATCAGCATCTGGGAAACAATTGGTTGGTACTTTATAATACTGCCTTCCTCACCAACCTGTTCAGGTGTATGCTTAATTTCACTGTTCCTGCATTGCAGGGGTTTTGACTAGAAGACCCTTGGAATCCCTTCCAACTCTACAGTTATATGATTCTTTGATGAGAGCACAACCTTTTGCATGCTTACTCAGTAGCAAGTCCCACCAATTTCAATAGAAATTCCCCCCAAGGTATATTGGATTGCAGCTTTAGACTGGCGTCCTCTCTAGGTTTCCTAATCCAAGGGTGTGGAGAGAATTCCTATTTATCATCTTTGTGTCCTCACAAGAATATAGCTCCGTTTTTGTACATTCAGGCCGTGCCTTTCATTTAAATGATGGAGAAAGCGGTAGCAATTTCACAGTGTTTGTGGAAACGTGGTAGCTCTGACTGTCAGATGGGTTTTTGCTTGTGACCTTAAATCAGGCTTTCAATTTTGGTTTCCAAAAAAGGAAAGCCAAAACACCGACTCAATGGCATCCTCCCCAGCTACTGGATACACAGTATGGCCCTGTCAGCTGCAATTCATTCATATTCTCTGGGGACCAAACCCTCGGCCAAGTGTACACAGAGCTCTTCAGTTTTTGCAAAGTTTCCCACAAGGCCATAAATAGCTACTGAAGCCTAGTCTATAGCCCCACCTTCCTGGAACGCCTTGAGCACATGCTTATTACTGAACCCTACAATGATTGCATCTTCCAGACACCAACTGGGCTTATAAAACTAACAACTTTCTAGCAATCATGGTTTGTTGTTTTTGTTTAGTCGTTTAGTCGTGTCCGACTCTTCGTGACCCCATGGACCAGAGCACGCCAGGCACTCCTGTCTTCCACTGCCTCCCGCAGTTTGGTCAAACTCATGCTTGTAGCTTCGAGAACACTATCCAACCATCTCGTCCTCTGTCGTCCCCTTCTCCTTGTGCCCTCCATCTTTTCCAACATCAGGGTCTTTTCCAGGGAGTCTTCTCTTCTCATGAGGTGGCCAAAGTATTGGAGCCTCAGCTTCAGGATCATGGTTATCATTACTTAATTGTACCCAGTTCCATCTTTGCAACTTCCAGGTCTCTTTTTAGCAGCCAAGTCCTATAGCACTGGGTATTAATCAAAAGCATTACTTAGCACCTTTGAGAGTGAATATCATCTTTTATGGGTCATTTCCTTTGGGTGCTTCTTGATTTTTGAGTGTGTGGTTTTGGCCTCGTAACCTACCCACCATGAAAGGCAAAAGGTGGGTCGTCTCAGGTACAAGAGCCCTAGCATCTGTGTGG